TCTGGTATGTTTAGTTTGTAATTCATAGAAATTGCGCGATGTCAACCTTCCTAAAATTATCGAGCATCATTTTCTCAACTTTTCCCATACATTCACTGTACATTTTGCGTTCGCCCCAGCAGTTTTGCACCCCCGGCAAAATGGCGGCGTTAACCTTGAAAGGGTCTATTGATGTATCAAAGAAACACTTGGATGCTTCACTTTTCTTTCCTTCTACTAAGTAGTTTGCATACCAGGTAATTCGTTATATCCTCTCTTTGTAGAGATACGACTACGAAACCGCTTATCGTAATGGATTCCGTGCAAAAGACGCATGTGATTTTGCGGTTAAACCAGTACGTCCAGGCTTGGAAGAATTTTCCTGCTATGTTAGATTTAAACAGGAAGGCAGTGCCACGGAGTATTCAATTTATCTTTACCCATGCTTTACACCAAGACAGGTTAAGTACATTATCGTACAGGTCCCGGCTGTTCGAAGGATGGATAACTCTATCCACTAGAGAAATCTCTATCCGGTGGATAGCACAGTACGTTTTGTTAACACTTATCCGTTGGATAGCGATTTATCCATATGGGATAACTTTTTCCGCCCTTCGAATAACTGGGCCCAGAGGTCATAAAACAATCGCGTAGTAATGGTCTTACATTCGTGAACCTCTAGTAGCGTTTGTGCCCAAGTCCATGAAGTTTGTAACCCAGTCGTAAACCATTTTACTAGTTCTGTTTCTATATTATTAGTACCACAGTCAACAAAATTAGCTCCCAATTCGTTTCCCAGTCCTGCAATAATCATCTTCAAATCGCAGAACATTCGTACTCCTATCGTATAACAATGACCAGAGAGATTCACGGGCTCTGATTGGTCGAGGATTGCGTCATATCTCACTTTGATCATCCTGCATCGGAACGTTTTCGAAGTAACGCAAAATATCTCGGAGTTGACTGGTTTGGCATCTTAGGCCTGTTAAAGGCTTTCTGGCCAACGAATGTTGACACAATCACTACACATTACCTCGTTTCATTCAGTTTTTGCTACTGTCATGTGCAGGTTGCTAATTTCATGTGCAGGTATTTTGACTCGCCCTAAGGGCTCGCCAAAATACGGCACAACTCGTAAAAATACTCAGCCACACTACCCAACAAAACGTCTAATAAGATATATAGATTTTTAAGCAAACCTAAAGGAATCGTACCGAAGTCGTGTAGCAATAGTACGATGGCTTAGGACTTAATTATGAGTCAATTTCTCTCCGAGGCTATTTTTTTATTTTGCCTATTACTCAATCCGCAGACTGGTCGAAAGATTATTTTCGCAAGTTCTGGGAGTGACTCACCTACCAACGGAGGTGAGTTGGCGGATTCAGTTTCGATTATAATACCAGAGGAGAACGAGATCAATGGAAGCCAAGAAACGACAACTTCATTGGGTTAGTAACATCGATTGGTTTTCACAATATGGCAATTTTCAATTGAGGGGATTACATTGATTTTCCTTTAATACGCTCCTTGATTGGCCTAGACAGTTCACGCCACGTTTTCAGCCAATCAGATGCAAGATTTGAAATCAGTCGCTCCGCGTTTTCCCGCGCTTTATGCAGTTAGCTGGACTTTAGTTGAGTTCTCATTGCCGGGCTCTTACAGGTATTTTTCTTTCTTCTGATTTGTCACTCTGATTACTATGATTAAACGAAATTCAGAGGAAAAGAGCTCTCACAATGAGCAAAAAAAAAAAGAAAAAAATAGTGTAAGAGATGATTAAGCTGATGACTGTGTTGTAGCGAATTTTTAATATTCTTTAATTCTCGCATATAAGTCTTATACTATTAGCGCCCGTTATTTTACGCTTATTCTTTTCGTCAGTATTTC